TTTTTTAAACTTTTACTTTTTTAATTCTTACTTATAAAAATCTTATATAATTAAATAATATAAATAAAGAAATATACAACTTTCAATGATAATTAAAATCTTTATTTAAAAAATGTTTTGCTAATATAAAAAGGTTAGTAAAGATAAACCCGTCAAATTTTTTATTTCAACGTAATTAAAAGACCATTTTTTTAGCGCATTTGTTAAAAGCTGTGGTTAAATCATCATAGCAAAATATTATATGTGTGGTCATATAAAGATTTGAAATCACACGCCTTCCTGGCCGAGCCTGTATATATACATACATATATATATATATATATATATATATATATATATATATATATATATATATATATATATATATATATATATATATATATATATATATATATATATATATATATATATATATATATATATATATATACATATATATATATATATATATATATATATATATATATATATATATATATATATATATATATATATATATATATATATATATATATATATATAGGCTTCCGCAGAAATGGCTCTTGCTCACCTCCACACTCGTGCAAATCATGTCCAGGGGCGAAATAAAACCTGTGCAAAATATAAATTGGTAAAATACTTAAATAAATATTTAAAGTTAAATATTTTTATGTTTTAATTTAGTTATTCTTTTAAAAACTTCTCAAATGATACAATTTTGTAAAATTGTTTGTTTTACTAGTTAATAAACGAAACTATTTCATTCAGGATATGTTAAAAAAATTATGAAATTTTTTTTGAATTTTCTGATGTAAAATGACAAATAAAAATTAAACAAGTTATTTTAAACAGCTATAACTGTTTCGTATGAGATTATCTAAATATAGATAAGGATATTTAAATTCTGTGTTATGTTAAAAGATAAATAACTAGTATGTTAAAAAGCAGGCAAAATATGCATGTGTTGCAAAAGAATTTAACATAATAATTCGGGTTTTCAGTATTTCTTTTTTGTATTATCACACATTTTGCTTAATTGATTGATAAACTAGTTTGTCATACTTTTAAGTTGTTTAAAGTAGTGCATATTTCCCTGTATACTTCCGCGTTAACTTCCTGGGTTTTTTTGAAAAAGGCAGCAGTTTATTTAATATGCTAATATTGTGAAAGTGATATGAATGAAAATGAAGAAACTGCATTTGATTTTGAAATTGAAAATATTTTAGGCTAATTTATTCAAAATGAATATTTATAAATAATTTATAACTATATATATTCCTTTTGTATTATAAAAATAATACTATATGATTTCTTTATATTTTATTCTTGTTTTTATACTTTTGTGCTATATATAATACATTTAAATATATTTTACAGCAATAAACCTGATATATAGAATAATATGCATTTAATACCCTTCTATTGGTTCTATTCATAAAAAAAATTTAAAAAATATTTATTTTTTAAAATTCATATAACACTTTTTTTTATACACGTCTATATTAAATAAGAATATTAAATATATTATATATAGAAGTATATGTACCAGAATCTCAAAAAACCTAAATTTCTAAAATTTAATTTAATTTACAAAGCACAAGAAAAGTGAATCAACTAAAGAAGCGCAATAAATATTGTTATATTTTATTCCATTATTTTAATAAGACAATATATCAATACTCAAATAGATTTTGCAAAATTGCTACATTTATTTCAAAAATTTTTAAGCAAACATCAAGATGCTTGAATAAAGAAACGTGATGGTTGCAGAGGTTCTTTTTTTGCTATTTTTTGTGTTGCGTGCAAATTATTGGTTTGATTATATCTGGAATAAACTTAACAAAAATCCGATTATAAAACTGAGAATAAAAGAATAAAGTCTAAATAAAAATCGAGAAACAAAACCAAAACAAAAACATAATAACAAAACTTATTAAGTAGAGCGCACACTAATAACTCTGAGCAAAAGATAAAAACTGCAGTGTAACTTAGAAAAACTATTATCTCAACTTTACAGGTATCCAACTATTCGAAGTTTAACTACCAAAGTCTTTTTAAATAATTTGTCACTCTCCTACTTGTTAATAAAGTGATTGTAGAAATTTTTATATACGATGACATTTTCATTCAAAAAGAAGAAGAAAAATGAATGAATTTTTACAATAAAATAATTAAGATCATTCATTTTTATATAACAAATATTTGATATATAACAGTTTTTTATAGGGTTCAAAAAATTTGTATGTGCAGATATTTGCCGATAAATTGTGCACGTATATTTCCATAATTATGCACATAACTTTTTTTTTAATTTCAAATCTTATAAACTGTTCAATTGTTTTAACTAGACAGACAGACCAAAAAAGGAACTTTAATTCTAGTTTTCATGAATTTTTTAATTATTGTACTTTTTAAACGAAAAAAAAATCAATTTTAACGGTGGAATAAAAAGTTAACATTTAATTCCACTATTATATCTCTTTAATTACCACACTTTTATAATTCATAACTTTAAGTTGTTAATTATAGTGCTTTAATTTAAAAAACTGAAAACTGTATAGTTTAAGAACTGCTACTTCCTCTAAAATGTAGTCATTTTTGTCATTTGTATCCATAAAAACACTATTGGTAGGGGAGAGTGGGGAGAAGTGGAATAAGTAAATTTTTTTTTTAGGGTTATTGAAATATCTTTTTTATTTGATGTATAAACTTAATCAGGCAAGTTTTTAAAAATAAACTTTTAGGCACCAATTCAATCCTCTTAGGTTTCCAGCCAATTATAACTAAGTATAGAGAAACCATGCCATTCGGGTAAAATGGGACATGTGTGAGCTGAAGTGGGACAAATAAATTTAAAACAACAATTTAACTCAAATTATTAAATAGAAACTGATATCATAAAACCACTTAATCAACATAAAATTGTTTAAGAACTTTCACCAATCGAATAATCAAATGACGACGGGAAGAAGCGGGCATAAATTTCTTAAATTAGCAAATGTAATACAAAAATAAATTAAATTGTTAAGTTTTGTGATATAGAAATTCGTTTAAAAATCATAAAAATAATTTGAAATATTTACAAATAAAATTAATTACAGAAAATCAAATGAAAAATTATTTCATTTAATTTAAAGTCACCTGCGTTTAATTTAAAAAGCATTTTCTTTTATATTTGACAATATTTAATAAATTCTATATAGCATTTATCTGTTAAATCTGTATGCACATCATATGCATATTATGTGCATAACATTTGAATGGTATACGCATATATTCGCCGATATGCGGATAAGTTCCAAAACCTAGTTTTTTATATATTGTTGTTTTATTAAAACAATTGATTATATTTTAACATTTGAATACTGCTTTTTCTTTATTATTTAATTAATTACTAATTATTAATTATTTAATTACTAAATAATTAAATTAAAATTAAATATAAAAAATATTAACAAAAAAATGTTAGATTTTTTTTTTTTGCAAGTTGTTTTTCTTTCTTTTTGTCGCTAAAAAAAACATTTATTACAATTTTAATTTTTACTATACCTGGCATGAAGAATCAACAAAATAAAATTTCAGAATAAAAAAAATTTTCATCAAAACATAATTTTAATTTTTCAAAAAAGCCTGTGAAAAACTATTTAGGCAGGCAGCCTGCATAGCACGCGAAGACAGGTTTAGATAGACGATTTATAGCATGTGAACTCATTTACTCCTGCCGAAACCTCTCTATATATAAGCCTTCCCAGGAGGCGAATGCGTTATTTTGTTTTGAATGCCCATGCTTAAGTTTTTATTTTAGACAACTTGATCATGGCTGTTTGCAAGTTTTTTTTTAAACGTTTCAATACTTTGCAGAAAAAACTAAGTTATAAAAATAAAGAAAGTAAAATTAACAAATAGGAAATTAAAATAAATTTAAATAGTTAAAAAAAGAAATAACTTAAATAATTTGCATACTGTTTCTATTTTCATTTTTTTATAGTGTTTGATATTAAATAATTGTTAAATATATTTTACCTATAACATAGTAAAACAAAAGGGAGAACAAAACGCACTCGAATTTTTGGGTAGAATAAAACGCACAAATGTTAAAAAGCAACAAGTATCCAAAATTACAAAGCAATAAAAAATTGAGGATAAAAATACACTGAGAGGCTTAAATGGTATAAAAAATCTAAACGCTAAGAGATGTGTATCATTCAAAAAGATATAATAGAAAGATTTTTTATATACAAAAAGATAAATGGTTACAAAAAAATATATGAGCAGTGGTATTTATAAGAAAAGCAAAAAAAAATTGGGCAGTGGTAGGATTCGAAGCACGGACATACCTTGTGTGGAGTATACGTCTTATCCAAATAAGCTAAACGTATGTTTACTTATGAACAAACAAATATAATTAAATAATTAAAAAAGTAATGTGAAAGTAAAGCCTATGAGGTAGATATATATAAACGCATACATGAACAAACCAATATACAAGTGCATATAAACACATATGCATGCATTACATAGACATATTTATATTAAGACAATATATACTATAAAATTTATATAAATAAAAATATATACTATAAAATTTTTTTTTTCTATTTTTCTATTTTAATTTATTTTAATTTCCTACTTTTTAGCTTTGTTTCTTTGTTTTTAAAACTTTTTCTGCAAAGTATTGAAAAGCTTTATATAATAAAAATTGAATTGGTTTTTACATAGGTAAGCGTTAAACTAATTTTAATTAATTTGGGGCTGCTCTCTCCTACGTAAAAACCAGGACAATGGTCACCCTAGGTTTTGCTAAAAATAATTTTGCTTTTTAGTATCAATAAAGAGGTCAATAAAAAACCAGTCGGTTTTTGAAAACAAATTATATTTCATTGAGGGGACAACATTAAACTGTCCCCCTCTCCTTTTTTTTTTTAATTTTGTTTATAATTAATAATAAAAAAGGGGCAGAGACATTGCAGTTACGCCATAAGAATAATATAAAAATATTTTAAAATATCTTAAATACTCACGATATATTGGATTCTTTGTCTGTAATATCCAATTTTTCATAATTTACCAACTTGTTTGAATTACTATGTAGAATTTTATTATAAGATCCCTGTTCAACGGATTCCTCTCTGTAATTTAATGTTTCTGTCACCATAGTATTGCATTTAATAATAACTGTATGATGTAAAATGCATTTCTAAAAACTCTTCATTATAAACAAAACCAAAATCAAAAATTCTTAAATTATTTACAGAATTTTTTAAAAAATATTTGAATATTGAATATTTAAAGAAGTTTTTAAAAAATATTTGAATTTAAAAAAAATTATACAAATTAAAATATATATATCATAATAATTACTAAAACAGTAAATCATTATTTATTTTTATTTAATAACATTATATAAGCTACAAAAATAACAACAATAATACTAAAATTGTATTATTAGCACTCATAATAATAGTTTTTAATAAATTACGCTTCCATAGAAACCCACTTAAATGTTTTAATTTCATCTATTGACTTTGTAAGTGAGGAGATTAGCAAATTAAAAATACTAAATAGTAGAATATTATGAAAGTTCGTGCAGCAAATGATATCATTCATTTAAATTAATATATTAAATAATTCACGGATTTGACCTGCTAAACTTGTAAAATAAAGGAACACGTTATTTATGCATGCTTATTTGTTATTTTTTGAAGTTATAATCGTTAGTGCCGAATAGTTTGACCGGAAAGCGTCGGTTATTGTTACGGCTGGGGAAAAATTTGTTTATAAATAATTTTTCGCTTGAAAAAAGTTTTTTTATTTTTAAAATAAAAATAATATAAATTTGAACATTTAAGTTTACTTCTAAATTTAATTTCAATAATAAAGTTATTTTTCAACATTTATAGTTTTAAGTAACAAGAAAAACAATAAACTTTCGCGCAAGGTATTTAGGGTAATAAATATGTAAACAAAATGGAAAAGTTGCGCAACATCAAAAGAGTACATTCTTAATAAAATGCCCTGAATAAGTTACTTTCGATATACATATAAAAGATTATTAAATACTTTTGCTTCAAATGCTTTAAAAAAGCAATAATTAAAAAAAAAAAGTTCTAGTAAAATAACATTCGATAATATTCATTATTGCCATTATGTATAATCGTACATAACATAGAAAATGTTAAAAATAGTATATGAAAAAAAGGTATTAAATATAAAATCTATTATGTTAATGATTTAAATAACTCAATTTATTGATCATACATGATAGATATTACTTGATTTAAAAAAACGATTTTAAATAATTAAAAATGCAAAGCACATTATTAGTATTAAAATTTTAATTATTTTATCATTTAAACAGTTTTAAAATAACAGGCATTTAAACAATCTTTATTTATAAAGTAAAACTGTATAACTAAATATTTTGTTAATAAACGATAATAATTATATAAATAAATAAAATAAAAAAGTTATTTGTTTTTTATTAGTTTTACCCTTTACCGTTTATAATTTCCGCATTTATTTCCGTGCATTCATTCACAACTGAACTTATTAAGGGACGGAGAAAGTAAAGGTTTAAAGAAAAGGTCCCTAAAATCGTAAGAAATACTGAACTGACAAAGCACGGGCCGTTTTATTTATTTATTTATTTTTAGTCTGTTAACCCGAATTTGAAAAATTAGCAATGAACTTTGTATAGAGGAGATACTGCCTAATGTTTATGGCTATTTCTGATAGGATTTTTATTAATAACATGAAAATTGAACAAAATCTAGATGTTTTACTATTTAAGGATTGTTTTATATGTAATTTTATTTGTGCGACTTGTGTTATATATAATCTGAAAAGACAAAATTTCGAAACTCGAACAAATCAACTCAAGCAGCGAAGGAAAAAGTTCCATAAATTTCAGCCATCTTGATTTTAAGAAAATTGTGGAAAGATGTGCTTATAAATTGCCAAATGATTTATGCTTGCTTCAAGAAATTCGAGTCAATTTTTTAAAGCAGAGTTTTTGTTTTAGTTTTATTATTTAATAATAGAAATAATAATATAAATAATTATTTATTACTATTATCATTAATTTATCTTTGTTTTAGAAGCTTTGTTAATATTATTTATAATGATAGTGATAGTGATTCCATTGTAGTAATAGTCTTATGGCTATTGTTATAATTTTGCTAGTGTTATGTTTATTTTTATAATTTCTGTCATAGTTATAAACTTTACTATAATTATTTTTCCTATAGTTTTTATCATTATTTATAATTTTTAGTAAAGTTATTGTGTTATAGTTGCTATTTGTAATGTTTTTTTTTATTCATATTATTGTTTTTATTTTTATTATATTATTATTATTGCAATTATTAATGTTATCTTTATTTATTAGTGCTTTATTTTCTTTTCTGACACCTATTATCATTTATGTGAGTTTATAATATACACTCTTTATAATATATTATTTTTAATGATTATATTTTTTTATAATATATTTTTATAATATATTATTTATGTGAGTTTATTATATATTATTGTAAATTTTTCATACTTTATGGGTAAAAAAATGGATTAATAAAAAAAGTTTTGAAGATTCTACTTATCTTTGAGAAAAATTAAAGTTTTTATTTAAAATCTGATAGCAATGCATAAAAATTTTATTCACAATTTATATTTATATTACTTGATTTGATGTTGTGCAAAAACTCAAAGTTAAAATTTTCTAATTCTGACGAGTTGTATAAAAAGTACATTGGTATGTGATCAGCATGAAAAATTAGTTTGGATGATACTCAAATATATGTTAATACTAAGAACAGAATTGGGAGTATTTAAAACTGTGTATTCAAAATATCTATATTTAAAGTAAAACAATTTTTTGTAAACAAAGTAAATCATACATATCTATTAGAAGCAAAACCTGGTTAGTGAAACGCTTAGGTTTCAATGATTATAAGTAACTTAAACAATATCTGTTATTGAATTGCAAGTTGATAAAGAAATATTTTTCTCTCATCTTGAAAGTATGCTAGTTTCATTTATATGGGTAAGAAGCTTATTCTACATTCTACATTCAGTGAATATATTGTGAGAAACATCAGTTCAATCAGCGCGGAAATCTTCTATAAGTGCAGAGATAAAAGCAATGCATATTTTAGTGTATTAATGACTATGGTCTTCAGTTTTTTAGCTCTATACTATGTAAAAACAATGTTTTTGGTAATAGCTATAAATTCTATAAAAATTTTATGGCTAAAACAACTAAATTTTTTTGATCTATTGTTTGTGCTAAGTTGTGTTAAGCTCAAATTTTAAATGTGGTAGAGAAAAATTTTTCTAAATATGTTATATAGTGTTAAACTTAAAAGAATTACATTTTCGTAAATAAATCTAAGCATTATACTGTGTGTGTGTGTGGGGGGGGGGGGGGGGTTGTGACTGCTTCAGTACATACATCACCTTGTATAGAAGGAACATGCAAGGGAGTTGCTGCTACATTACTGAGGGTTTCAGATATGACAGTGATAAGTTTTTTTTTTTTTTTTTTTTTTTTTTTTTTTTTCTTAAAAAACACTGTATGCATTCAAATCTACAAAAAGAGTCTTGCAAAACTATAGTCTTCAAATTTTTTTTTAATGTGTTAAAAGTTATTTTCACATACAGTTGAATCTCGATATCTCAAACTCTCAGGGGACTGGGAAAAAAGTTTGAGAGTTTGAGATATTAAGAGAATTTTGGTTCAAAGGAGTGTGCAAGGGAAATTCGAGATATAGAGTAGTAGAGGTATCAAGAGTCTGTATTTTAAAAAACCGTATTTTAAATAAGTAATTTGATGGCGTATGACTGATTTTTCCAACCATATTTTTAATGGCAACAAAAAAAAAGACTCAGTGATGATTCCAATAATTTTTTGTGGGAGAGAGGATGTTGAAATATTTTTGTATTTTGTACCACATTTACGTCTCCTAAAAACAAAAAAGGTACTCAATTTCTAAGATATTTAAGGATTTTTAGATTCTGATGGGGGGATGCGTACCTTATCTCTCTCCCCCAGCCCCTGGATCCGTCACTGCTCTCTATCTCTATCCCTATATATTTATAAATATATACCAGGAGTTATTCTAGACCGTTTTTGACAGCGTCGACCGTATTTGAATTTAAATTTTTTTCCCTAGAATAGCCCCTGTATGTAAATAAATATATATATACATTTATATAGATATATATATACATTTATATAGATATAAATATTTATATGTATATATATATATATATATATATATATATATATATATATATATATATGTGTGTATATATATATATATATATATATATATATATATATATATATATATATATATATATATTAGTGGCTAATTAATAAACTGATAACAATACAGAGGCGGATTTAAACCCCGTCAAGTGCTGCAACTGACCTGACGGGTTAAAAAAATAAATATTGATATTATGGTCGTCTACCACCCGACCAAAATATTAGACTGTCGATCTTTTTATTTTGGTTTGAAAAAGTAGTTTAAAAAACGTTTACAGTGAAAACTAGGCTTTGCAGAGAATGAAAAAACTACTTTACAAAACTTTCTAATGTAAATTATACTTTGCAGGGAATGATTCCTCACTACTAAGAGTAACAATCTGGTTAGTTTAAAAATAAACTTTGCAGTGTGAACTAAATTTTGAAGCATCTGCAGCAGCTATTTGATTGGTTACAAATGTACGCCGTTATATCAGAATTTAACTTGGGTATTCTCAAAAAAGGTTTACGATTAAATCATAAGTAAAGTACAAAATACTTTTTGAATTTTAACATCAAAGCATGGCTTAAAATTATATTGAAAATGTTTTGAAAAGATTTGAAATTGCTTTGCTTTTTATCTATACTGATTGTGCGCATTTTGTATTACTATTATTTTTGTTAACTGCCAGTTATTTAAAAAAGCACAAATTCGTTATAAAATTAAAAAAACGTGGTTTTTAAACACAATAGCATTGAGGCTCAATGCTCAGCAATTAGAAACTTGCTAGATGCTTTTGATCTCATACAGTTCACCCGCTTCAAGCCCTGGCTATTTAAAAGGGTTTAGTACAAGATTAGCTAAGTTTCCTGGCCGACCATTTTTCTTGGTAACCTCCTGCCATCATGTCGAAGAGTTTCATATAATCGTAGCCGTAAATTAAACTGTTAAGCCGGAGAATAAATTATTTATATCATAAA